ATATAATGTTCTCGGAAACGATGCTCGGGTTGCAACCACCGAATTGAAACCGTCTCGGTGGCTCCGTAAATATTGATTTTCGCGAAAATTGGTTCAGGTAAATGTTGTGTAGTTCAGAGGAAGTCGTATGATATATTATTCAAATATGTTTGTTGTTAAATGTTGGGGCCGTCAGTCTTTTAAAGCAACATTACTTCTTTTCTAGGACTATAAGGTAGATTTTTAATAAAAGGCAAGCTCCAGGCGATATTTAATAAAATTCACTTACCTCACACTTTTTTCTTCATCTTTAATTCTTCTTACAGATGTAATACAAAATAGAAAAAACTCTCCATTATTCTCTAATATTGCTTACGGTTTAAACAGATAATACGGAACTGATCAAATTCGTCTAACATGTCATATTTATTAATTTAATGTAATTAAAGTTACTTAAAAAACTTCATTAAACATGTGATAAACATTCAAATTTATTAAATTAACAATGTAAAAATACAAATATTTATAGTGGAATTGAAATAATTTTAATCAAATGAACCAGTTAGTATATTGAAGAAGCTGTTAATATACAGGGTGTAACAAACGTGTTGTAGACCCCTGAAATGGGTCACTTGTGAGGTGATTTGGAACAAGTTTTTCCTTAGCAAAAATGTTATTCGAGGCTTTGTTAATGAGATATTAACCAAAATCCGCGGCCAATCAGAGTTCGGCTGGCAGACTCGCGCTGTATTTTTGCTTATGTATTCTCACAATGGATACAAATACGTATTTTTTCGGAAATACATATTACTTAGCGGTTGTAAATGTATCCACAATTGGTAGGTTTAGTTAATTACGTGTCTTTATTCCAAATCCTAGCGTAAGACTCAATAATTAGGTACCTCATTATTTTCTGTATCAAAGAACCCAGCTTGCCTCATAACATCGTTTTCCAGAAATGAATATATTTGTACAACAAATAAAAAGATATTCTAATTCTGAATATTTCACATTGAAATAGATGAAATAAAGATTATTATATAAGAAAAACTATGGACTTACCGTCCTTAAATATATATGTATTATAAATGTTTTTGTCACACAAAATAAGATCGACACAACCTGCAAACAGTTTCACCGACTTTCACAGCTATAAACAAAAGACGCATGCTCCTCCACTTATTGTTGCTGGCGACACAACTGTTATAACATAATAGCGTCCTATTTTTGTATTCGTCATGACTAGCATCTTTCAGTTAGCGTTTAGGTACAATACCCTATCTTACCTCACAATCCCGTCATACCCCTGCTACCCCTATAAGCATGTAATGGCTCTTTTCTGTAAAAATCTTTATTAACATGAAAAAATTGCTATTGCATCTATTACTCGAAAGAATTACCATTTTTCCAGCAACAAAATTAAATCACAAATATTAACTTTCCGTACGGTCATTATTTTTGCGTACACGTAATTAAAGTTTTCTTATAAGTCGAATACGGTTAGTTTTTCAATAGACATTAGTATATTGTCATTTTTGATTTTAACAAGCACCAAGTGCACAGTTTGCACCATGAATCCTTATACACTCTATACGTATTACCTCATTACCTGCATAGAAGTCAAATTATTGCTTAAAACGCTAAATAGAATTCCATAATACGGAAGTTGTTTACGACTTAATTTAAAACTCAGAACGAAAAGGAACTTCGTGGTATTTAGTACAGTTATTGGAAAATATGGAATATACAGAGTTGTTAACAGTGCACTGTAGCTCTTCGTTTCGGCGCGGCGCAACTAGCATCTTTAAAACTTCCAGGCTGTCTTTTAGCGTGCAGGAACTCTTAATTGTTCCTTGAGTTAGTTTGAACAAAGCGTACGAAATATGCGTATAAAAGTAGTAGGGAAAAAGTATCGGACAAAGGTGCGATATATAAAGAAGAAGCGTTTACCACGTTGACCGCCATACCAATATCCACCAAAATTGTTGCAATATCTTTCTGCCAAAAAAAAAATTATCACTTAAAAAGTAACTACAACATTATATTATCCGAAATCTGCTTCTTAATGAAATGACCTTAACCTTATTGTCCATCATTACACTACAGATTTTATGCTTTTATTGCAAAACACAGTTATATTCCACAAGTGCAGCACATTTTACGTACTTAATATTAAAGTCACAAATGATCAGTCTAATTTGAATGAGTCTAAACCATACTTAGTATACTTTTAATTGGGATGCATTCAACTGAGAAATTATATACAGTGTAGTTTAAAAAGTATTGTTATTTTTTTAAGTTCCAAAAATGTAAACATCAAACTTTACAAAAACAAACTGAAATAGTTCAATCTATACATAAGAATTAATAATTTACTATGAATAAATTTGTTCAGTATAAATATTGAAATATCGGGTGTACACTTTTGGGTACGTTGGTTTACAACTTCCAGTGAAAATACTTTTCAAATATTATTTTAATACTTTATAAAATACATTAACCATGTATTACATATACAGTAGACTCTTTCTTAACTGAGCTCAATGGGACCGGACCTCATATATGCCAAAAAATATGCCAAATATTATTTATCCAGTTAATATAAATGAAAACTAAAACTAATAGCCACTTACGCAATGTCCAATATACAGAGTGGTCCATGCAACTTGTTAACCTTGAATAACTTCTGAAATATACATTGTATGAAAGAATTCTTTATAGAAAAGTTGTATGGTTTGGAGTGGTACATTATGTAATGCATATATTTTTTTGTAAGTGGAGGCGTTTCGGAGATTTGAAGGTTAACTTCGTTTTTTTAAATGAAATGCTATATTTTTTATGCCAAAATATCGAAGAGCGTTAAATTTTAAGTAAAAAAGTACTGATCTTTATTAATCGTAAACCTAATAATTAACGAATAATTTCACTTTGTTTCTTCAAAATGATCTGTGCGTAATAAACGTTGTCACGTAAACTTGGCGGTCTTACAGAAATCTTTGCTGGTATTGAATCTCCAACTTCATATTACACACAAATCATTTTCAAGAAACAAAGTGAAATTATTCGTTAATTATTAGGTTTACTGTTAATAAAGGTCAGTACTTTTTTACTTAAAATTTAACGCTCTTCGATATTTTGGCATAAAAAATATAGCATTCCATTTAAAAAAACGAAGTTAACCTTCAAATCTCCGAAACGCCTCCACTTAAAAAAAATATATGCATTACATAATGTACCACTCCAAACCATACAACTTTTCTATAAAGAATTTTTTCATAAAATGCATACTTTAGAAGTTATTCAGGATTAACAAGTTGCATGGACCACCCCGTATAAAAAAAATACGAATACGAGTCACAGCAAATTTTGCATGTGTGTATTTCAAAATTAAATTCAATGAACGTACCAATTGTATTCACGCTGGATCTCAACGAAAATGTAGTCGGTAAAAGCGGGACCGCAAAAGAGAGAGTCTACTGTAATTAGCATTTCAAACTTTAAGACTGATTAAATATGTAACATGTGTTATACGTATGGGGTAAGCCGATACTTCTGTAAATAGCTGTATGAATATACAAAAAATATAATACAGTAAACATTTTAGTGAAGATTAAATGCATACAGATTTTAATCAACTACGATTTCAATTTCTTGAGAGAAAAAAACCATATCCAAAAAGTAAGGATCCAGAAATATTTTCTTCGATTGTCAAGCAATATTTTTAGACGAAATACAATAAGGAAGTTTGATAGGAAAGTACATATCTAGCTCAACATACACTCAAGCGTTTGTATCTACCTTCAAAGTTTGTGAGTATTCCATACCAAAGTTCCTTTCTATGAAGTCTTAGAAACTCCAGGGTATACTTTTAGAATAAATGAAGTGAACGAATTTACGTAATTTCTCCTTTTGTAATGTTCTTTTATAAAAATGTGAGATTTCACAAACAGCCACTGCCCACGCATCATAATCTCTAGTCAAATTAGTTTCATAAATTCTTTAGCCCCAACCTAAATGTTGTGTCACGCAGATGTGCTGATGCAGCTATGCATGAAACATGTTGAATGCAAAGAATTTTCAAAACGAGATGACTAAAATGATATATGTATACTATTAGGTTGTGCAATAAGTTTGTTCTCGTCGACGGCGGTAAACATTTCGAGAAATGTTATCTAAAACTGTTGCTTTATATTAGCAACGATGGATAAATACATCAGCCAACATATTAAATATTTCATATAAATCAGTTTCATTGTATTGAAGAAAAATTTGGAATGATAAATAAATATAATGTTTGGGTTCCGTTTGAATTTGACCGATCGCTTTTTAATTTGTAATTCTTTGTTAAAGCGGTTCAAAAATAGCCCATTTGTATAACTATTGATAATGTAGTAAGCCAAAAAGATTAGTCTATGCTAGGGCAAACACCTTCAAACATCACCAAAGTTGAACAGTACCCTAAGAAGGTGTTATGTAATGTGTATGATGGAGTCACAAAAGAATACATTATTATGAACTTTTACCACATAACCAGGTAATTAATACTGAAAAATACTGTTCACAACTAAATCACTTAAAGGCAGCAATAGGAGAAAAACGGCCATTACTTGTATCCAGAAAAGAAGTTGTCTTCCAATACGGTAACGCGTAACAGCATACATTTTTAAGGACACGGCAAATAATATTGCAATTTGGTTGGGATATTTTTTACCCCATCCACGATATTCATCAGGCCTTGCTCCATCTGATTTTCATTCATTACGAACATTGTAACATTCTCTCACTAAAAATTCGTTCGGAAACACTGACGAAAAAAAACATGCACTGAATTTTTTTAATAAAGAGAAGCGAACACTCTTACAGGAAAGGAATATTTAAGTTACTTAAAATATGGCAGAAGGTCATAGAACAAATTGATACATACATTAGGTAAGTTTTCTACAAAATTAGTAATACTTAATATTCATATGAAAAAACATGAACGAACTTGCTACGCAATGTAATACAAATGAAAAGCATGTTTAACAAGTTACAAAAGGTTTGCTAACGTTTGGTTGACCCCCAGACGCCATCGTCATCTCGATCGACGTTGTGGACGAAGTGTTGTTACCTGTACTTTTTACCACGGCCGGCCCCCACGTCTTCTTGGGTCGAAACAGACTCCAATCCCTCTGCGGACAATTAAAACGGAAGTGAAATTCTTTGAACAATTGCCGAGCCGAGCTCCGTTCAAACAATTCAGCGGAACTTTCCAGAGTCGTCGTTTCAATCGGTCTGGCGGACCATCAACTCGATGAAAGATTCCATGGATTTTACCGGGAATGCCGTACATAAATTGTTTGCGATCACCGATGAGGATATCAGGAGGAGTTCGAATACTTAAATGGGTTTGATCCTTAAACGTAGTACGATCGTGGAATAATTCATGGAGTGGCTGGTCCGCCCTTATAAATGTATGTTGCGGCTGGAATATATAAATCTTGGCACCGGTAATGTAACATAGGAGTCATGAGACTCTAACGGGAAGAGAGTGGCTCGTTGACGAAAGCAAATAATAGAGCGTACTCGCTAAGAAACGCGTATTTGAAAAATCCCCTCTTATATTAACGTCAGCTGCCATTTCAGACTTCTCGCCCTGCGAAGTTTATTATACATACTACGACAAACACTGTAACGAAAAACAAGTTTATGAAGAATTTCGAGTGAGCAAATTTTGAACGGTTGCAGATTAGGTAACCGAGATTTAGAATTAATGTAAAACTTTTCACAGATTAACAATGAGGAGAAAAGAAACAGAGTCTGTCAAATTGGGTCACTCTTTAGGTAATGTTAGTTTATTATGTTAAGAGCATTCCTCGAATTTTGTATTTATAAAGGAGTATTTGAAGTTATTTTTCACATAATTTCGGAAATTGTTAAATATTTCAAATCAATACGTAATTGTTTATTCATCAACCTCAATGGAAATATGGTAATGCTGCAACGTTTAAGTAAAGGTGCGTATATACAAAAGCGTTTAATTGAAATATGTTTATATATTTCTGATAGATATGGGTTTTGACTGTCTCTTTAACCGTCATTTCCATGCAACGATATCACAGATGTTTCAAGAAAGATATAGTTTCAGCAGAAAGCTATTATGTAAGTTGGTGTATGTATATAAGATATCGTTTTTACAAATGAAATTTTAACCACACGCAGATCCCTTAATACAGGCCTGGCCAAACATCAGCCACGATGACTCTCGCGTCGCCCGCGGGGCAACCGGGCCGAGGGGGTGATACTGGGGGTACGACCTCCTTTCGCGGTCGGCCCACGAGAAGACAATATTCTTATATATTCGAACTATAGACAATAAAATGCATGAAACTACTGTTTCAATATATGTATGTGTTCGGAGACTTTTCGAAGAAATCACCCGTGATGTCGGACAATGGAAATAGAAATAGAATCAGCGGAAAGACAAACCACAATGAAATCGATAAAGTTAATATCGATACAAAAGCATCGTGGTTTCGAAAAGCAAGAGGTTGACCCGCACTACTTTCTTCACGGGACGCGACGCGGTTGTCTTCCTTTTCGTTTGCCAGGTCATATCTCCGGAAACCGCACAAGTAGTTTCAAACTGTGCAGGGAGTCGAAAACAGGGAGAAAGGAGATAAGAGTAATAGTAAATTTATCGAGTAACACAAAGCGGAAGCGGTCAAGAAGGAGGTAGAAAGTACGGCAGAAATAGGTTCGATCCGAACGATGGAGCGCGGACAAAACTTTTCGTTTCAAAGTACGATTACCTACGTACCATGGAAAAACTTGTATTAAGACGTTCGAAGTTCTTGAGATTGTAAGGGAAAAGGGAGGGCACTTTTAAAGCGTTGCACAACCGCCAGGAGGTAACCACCGCCGGACACTACACAGCTCCTAAAAAAATTTGCAATTCGTCGATCGTTCAAATATTACCAGGATACCGCATAATTATCCAGTATTTGCATATTTCTGTAATGAAAATTCAAGTGGCCGCATTTCCTAATTAAAAATTACTACGGTAACTATAAATACATGTAGAACTATTAACTTATTATTAAGTGTAGGTCATAAAATTAAATTATACTTTTTTAGTGAGTTCTATGAATCTGGAAATAATCTCGGATTGAGATTTTACATGATAATTACTGTTCAAATTGTACCGAGTTCCGATGTTACATTTTAACAGAAGTTGTAACCAAAATAAAACAGTAGCGAAGCATACCTATATGTGTAATTTTGTTTGTTACAACATTCGACAGAAATTGATCAATATATAATATAATTTATTTAGTGCCTATTCGGGCGCACCTAATTGAAATCTACTTTGACCCTTTTTCAATTACCCGCATCATTAGTAGACTTGACACATTGCCGTTATGTAGATGAAGGTATTAAATTACAAAATGAAGTCACTCAAAATTATTGTTAATTAAATTATTTTACTATTATCTCAAATTATAGAAAATGTGTGATATCATGCTTCAAAACAAAAATAATTAAATTCGTGTATGTTTCGGAATGAAAATGTAAGAGACGCGTTCGTCAAAAGTAAATAGGATAGGGCGCTCTCGCACCATCCTACGAACCTGTCAACGATTGCGTGCGCTCAACGCCGATTTGCTAGTTTCGTCCCTGAATTTCGCGATCCTGTTGCGTTAGAGCGCGTGCGATAACGTATTTACGGAATCTGCGCAACTCTGTTCGAACTATCGATTATCCATCGATATTTTCGCGGTGATCGATATTCTTGGAACCAATCCGGCGCTTCTTTGAAAAATCCTAAGGAATTTTGAACTAAAATCAGTAGAAACTTCGCTGCTCACCGGTCATTCTGTCGTGAACCTTTGTAGTAATCGCAGATCTTAACAAACTTATCATTTTTCAACTCGTGCGTCAATTATCGCAACACCACAAGTGTTATATTTAGCGCTCTCACCGCTCGAGTATAATTCGTATCGATAGTCGGCGATTAGTGTAAATGATTTTCGTGATCGCCTGGATTTTTCGTGTACGGCACTCTCGATCATAACTTCGCGGCTCTCCAGTGCCCACCGAGTGTAATCGTGTTTTCGTGAGACATTGTTAAGATTCTCAACAATAAACTATTCCGGCTAAACTCCGGTGTGTTTTTTCGCTGCAACACCACCTTCACTGCGTATCCTTTTCAGCATAGAACTAGCTATCCTAGGGCGGTCGTTGAAATCCAATGATCGACTCGGTCCACGATAAACTCACAACATAAACAGTGTAATTAAACAGGAAATAATTTGTCAATGAATATAACTTTTCTTGTTACGTACAAGGGAGACGCCAATCACTTTTTTTGGTAAACTGAACTTGGTGTAGAAGAAGATGGCGGCTATGTTGAAAATTGAGAGCTTTATGTAATTTTTTTAATAGCATAGACTGAATTAAGTAAACTGTTTTTTTAACATTCGATTGCCAGGAAATTTTTAACACTATTATACCTGTTAAATCATTATTATTATTACTATTACATATCTGGACCCCAGAGTTAGACTGCATAGTCCACCTTTTTTTTAACAATGGCATTTTGCATGTTTTTTGCATCTTCCCACTATTTCCGATGGTAAAAATTATTTCGGTCTAAGTTGTTAAGTTTTTAATACAATAGTGTAACTAATGATATTGACTCCATATCATCTTCCAGGTCGAACAGTATAAAATCCATCACATAGAGGACTTAATGCACTGTTCACCATTCCTATATATTGAGACTTGTTATAAGTCCAGTCAATAGTTCGGAGGTAGTGATTGTTTCTCATTAAGTTCTTACCGAAGGGTTCTAAAGTTTCAAGGTTATTGAACGCCTTCGATTTTCTATCCCCTAACGTTTGGTAAGTGTAGCTTAATATACTGTGCCGCACAAAAATGAAACATTTCGCAATACGGATATTCCTCATGCAAACACAAATCGAAAAGTTCTTTACAGTTTTGTAATCTTAAGCTCCATTTCAGAGATATTAGCAGTTAAACGAACTCCAATCAGCTGAGCGGTGGGCCACACGTACGCGTAGCACAGTCAAGAAGTAGAGGCCAGTGACTTGAATCGTGCGTTTCTTGATTGTATCTACACCAGGGGGTGGAAACTGAGATAGACACTTCCGGTATAGTATTTGAAAGCGGATGTAAATGGTTTCATATTTGAGCGGCGATGTTGATTGGCTGTTTGGGCTGTATGTTGCGTGCGCATGTATGGGCACCTCGCGCTGTCTAGCATTAAGTTAAAGTGTTAAGAAAGTTGGGGTTAATTATTGTTGTTGACCGCTGTTAAGTATGTCAGTTTTTGATGTAAGAGGATGGTTAGACTCTGGCTGTCAGAGGCCGAAATTTATTAACCACCCAGGCATCTAAAATTTTAGTAAGGCATCACTCCACAGATCTCAAGGTATCATGAATGTGCAACCATTTATAGCAAATGTGATAAGAAGAGCTAGTTTTGTGCAAAACTAATGTGTTTAACTTAAAATGTTAGAATATATTTTAACTTATATTATGTAATGTATGTGTCAATTACCGAATCTCCCACTACTCATATTTTTACAATTGTAATTACATATATAAAGTGTAATGTATGTAAAAAATATTGATGGTATTTAATTTAATTATTATAACGTTCACATACCATCATTATTTGTTATATACATTTTTGTTAGTATCAATAGCTACATCTTTTATTTCACATTTAAGCACGCACGGTGCATATGCATTCAAATTTAGCGGTATTTAACCGCCATATTGGAATTTTAGTTCCGCTGAAAGTTTCATATTTTAGATGGCGTTCAAAACACTATCCCACCGCTTAGCATGGGAGTTTACATCCCTTGATCTACATGTAAGTACGAGTGAGTTCGTTTAACTGCTAATATTTCATAAATGGAGCGTCAGATTACATAACAGTATGGGACTTTTGAATTTGTATTTGCATGAGGAATATGTATGTTGAGGATTAACCCATCTTTTTGGGACACCCTGTACATATTATGTATAGGGAGGGGCAATAAATATGTCCACTTTGAATATTGCCGTTATTTGTAATAATATGAAAAAATGTTATATACAACACTTACACGGTATAGAGGGAGGCATATTGTGACACAAACATTTTCTGCGTGGGTGAATGCATAGAGGAGATTTCAAGGCCATTTTTTTTAATGGAATGCTATGTTTTTTTATATCGCGACGTGATAGCCGGTGTTGAGACGACATCAGCGAGCTATCAGTGAAGGTCATGTAAGGTCCAGTGTGGTAGTAAAATAAACTTTCTTACATTACAGGAGATGCTCGAAGTGGTGACCGTTTGCGTTAATGCAAAGTTGCAATCTTCGTATCGCTGCATCGCGTGCATGTCTTATCGTTTCTGAACTTATTCTAGCACATGCTGTATTATTTCATAGGGGACTTTATTAGAAAATGTACCACTAAACGTTCACCAAATGATGTGGTTACAGCACGACGGGTGATCAGCACATTATGCTCGGAGAGTAAGAGATGCACTGAACGAACTTTACCGAAATAAATGGATAGGACGTGGAGGATTAGTTTCTTGGCCACCTCGTTCTCCAGATTTAACCCCATCAGATTTTTTTCTCTGGGGAGCATTGAAAAATGCTGTTTATCAAGAAGTACCGACTACACCAGAAAATATGAAACAACAGATAATTGCAGCATGTGCTAGAATAAGTTCAGAAACGATAAGACATGCACGTGATACAGCGATACGAAGACTGCAACTTTGCATTGACGCAAACTAGCCACAGAATGCGATGGCAATGTAGAAAATTAAAATAACTGTGCAAGGTGCACTGAACGTATAATACACAAGTCAGTTTGCGTAAATTATCTGAACGTGGAAACGTGCCTCAAATAGAATAAAACAACTCAGTTCATTTGTGCAATATCGCATGCGCAAGTCAGTTTGCGCCAAATTATTTGAACGTATAAAACGGTCCTTTAGACAGGTCTGACCTTTTAACATAAACGTGGAATTACAACATCCGCGATAGGTTTAGGAAATCTAGACATCGTAAACTGTCAGGCAGTAAATACCAAGCATCCCCTTTATTGCACCGAAAAAGGAACGCTTCCAAAAACGCAGATGTTATGGTCGGGCACCCTATCTTAAGAGATCTTTAATAAAACTCGGTCACCGTCGGAATCACCGTATGCTTTAAAGAGCACTCAAGGGGGGCGGGGGCGGTCCGTTTCGACCAAAAACGTATCGTAAAAACACAGAGCCGTTTGCATAATAATCCCCCCCCCCCAGTTTGTCGAGCATTATTCCAGCAGATATCTCGATTCAGCTTGTATCCCCGCCACTTCTCCCATAAACCCCATGATTTGATGGCACGCAATTGTCAGTAATCGCTTCGTTCGAATTAATGCGCTTATTCTACGTAACGATAGAAATTCATGGTGATTTAGTGGCGTCATTATTACCGCTGCTGTAACAAACTTACCGGTCCTTTCCACAGCTGTCGGATGAAAAAGAACGGCATCGGGACGATGGTCGACAAGCCGATCAGTATTCCAATCGCGTTCGCCCAGTCAGGGAATATGTACGTGCCATAATAACCCAACTGGTACTTAGATATTTGATACACGAACACCCCCTATGGAGAGAAACAAAAACAGGAGAAAAAAAATACATTGATGGTTATTTCTTCCCGTGAATTCCTCGGGAGAGCAGTAATCTTACGGTACACCGGCCAATTAGGAATTTGATATTTTTAATCGAAAGAAACACCACCGTGTTTTCCCCAGAGCGTGATTGTAACTAGAGCGATTTAAGCCTCGGTCGGAATGAAAAATTTCAACCTTTTCATCGATAACCAGGTTTAATACCAATCGATTCGAATCAATTGATACGCGTAAATAAACTTTCTTCCTCGGTTCACGTGGAAATTTTATGCTAAGTTGATTGCCCAGTTCAACCCTTTGCGAACGAGAATTTTCTTAAATATCGAGGATTTTTTCGGTATTGAACGAAATTATGAATTGATAATACGTAAAAGTAATCGTCAAACATACGCTTATTGGGTCTCGTGTAATGTAATTGTTTGTTTCCGGTACAGAGTTCATTTTTTGCAAACATTATTGCATTATATAAAGTGAAGACCTGAATACGTAAAGTAAGGCATAGAATTATTTAAGTATTTACAATTGTATGCCTATTATACCAGGCATTATTTGAAGCTGGAGTAATATAGAACAGTATACTATAGCATAGTATAGAACAGTCTGATATAAACAAGTTTTAAATTAATGTTATACTAACAAGAAAGTCAAACATTGTCGTTCTATGAGTTTATTCAAACACTGCTGACTAAATATGTTAAACTGAAAATGATATAAAACGCATTTACTACACAGTGGAATGCCAAAGATGAAAAAATGGATACATTTCGATAGTGAATAAATTAAATCTTTCTGACACATAATATATTGTTTCATAAACAATTCAAAAAGTTAGTTGCCACTGAAAAAATGAGAAGAACAAGAAGTGGAAATGAAAATGAAAAAGTGAAAAAAAAAGATGTTAACACTTCATTTGTATATGTACAATAGAGTGACTCCATTTTAAGGAAGAATGGATAAATATTTCAAAAATATTTCAGCAAGTGACTGAAGATATGGAAAAGTTGTTTCTACAAATTTTTTTTGTTACAGAGGACCACACTACATAGTCTTATAGTCTTTCTGTAGGTTGCAGTGGTAGGAAAAAGTTCAAGACTTGATTTTGTTAAATAAAATGCCACACTTATTTGTAGTATGATTACATTTTTGGAAACGAATTTAAGGAGGTAAATTTACTAAGTTACGACTTTTTATAGAATGGAATTACATCACTAATGCTTTTTACAACCTTCGATAGGATAGAAGTACATCAAGGGTAACGTTTGTGAAATTCTTCACTAACAGAACTAACTCTACCTTTTCCTTCGCTATGAAGGTCATTGTATTTAGATTTTCACGACATTGAACAACGATCTTACACGGACTTTTATGCATCGATACTAAAAGTAATAAAAATTTAGGTAAATATTTGGAATAGGGGAGGCAGTACCGATAATCTTGATCTGAAAATATGCTGTCAAGATCACCCTCCTGAATGACCTTCAGAATGCTTTAGCCATCGCTCGTTTTTTATTAAAAAGTTATAAATAAAAAAAGTTCAATATATAGTAGTTATTTTAAGTATTGAAGGGCTCCAATGACCTTGACTTTGACACATGTCGTCAAGGTTACCACATTTGTTAAGAAGTTATAACCAAATAAGTTCAATTTTACCTAGTATAAACATTATATTATTACCATATTTGCTTGGGCATAATTGCGTGGGCGGGGGCAAGGATCCAACTTCATTTCTGATTAAATTAAAGTGAGCTTTGATTTAGATTTAGTCGAATTTATTTTTAAACGGCAATATAAGTATTCAGATCGTAATGTAAGTTTTTCAAAATGATGCCACATTGATATCCATCGAATGAAAATAAAAGCAAATAAATTTATTATGAATACTAATTTCTGAAATTCTTAATTATACGGTAAATCTTCATGAAATGCATAGGGGCACCCCTCCTCTGCATCTCCAGAAAAATCTAACCCAGACCTAAACGTAACAGACCTGACCTAAGTTATTTTTCTGGCCGTAAGTATACGAGGGAAAAGCGGGACGTGATCGACTGAGGTCCATTCTTTTCACTGCGATGATCAATTCGATTCGTGCGGGGGAAAGAAATTATGTTATCGATTTGATCGGCTGCTTTAAATCAGTCCGTATCTCATAGACGCGGCCCGTAATCGACGGTAGAAAGAGTAGCCGGCCGATTGAGTGGCGTGATCATTTATTTCGGTATGACTCGTAATCGCTAAAATGGAACATGACAGGGGTTTAAGCCCCGTCGCCTTGTTCCAGGGGAGGAATAAAAAGAGCCATAGATGGGAAAGACGTATGTCCCGTATACCCCACGTAACTTTCTGGTTATTATCGACTACTGTTACGTGTGCCGGACGTTAACAAGTTAATGTTTATAATATCGACGGCTATATCTGTCGCATGTAGACACGAGTAACACTGAGTTTTCGAGGAATTTTTAAAATACGAATATCGGACAGAATAAATTCGATGGAGTCTCGTGAAATTTATTGACGTTGAAATAAATGTAACGATAAATTTTAAACTATGCACATCGTTTGGAAATAGCCTACGGCTGTTGTCTTGTGTCTACCGCATTCCTTTAAAAGGATATTCCCATTTCGAAGAGTCGAAGCATTGATTTTTTTTTATTCTATTTTCTTAGGGTATGACGTTTCGAAAATGCGTACCTAAAAGACAACGTACCATACTTTACATTACCATATATTACACTACCATGAGAATGAAAATGACGAACAGAATTGTCTGAACTATTACTCGAATCATAGAAATTAATTAAGCTTTTACTTGCACTTTCATGCTTGTGTTTGAAAGAAACAGTTACGTTCTTTTGCGCAGAACTTACATATATTTATTATTTTATACTGTTTATTATTACCTCCAGAACATTAATCGATAGAAATACTTAAAGGGATCTTTATAGGACGAAAAGACAAACTATTTGTTAACTGACAAGAATTTTTCTTCGCAAGATAACTAAACATATTCTGTTAGACTGTAAACATTTAAAGCAACTAATAAAAGAGAAGAACGCTCCGTCGTAACATTCGAAACAACATCTACGTCAATAATAAGAGTTTACAATATGTTAATTACACTCAAATAGTTTTTGCAGGACAAAAAAATTTAGATTGTAGTTTATTATACAGTAATTTCGTGTTGTATGCAACAAACTCGGGTCCGCTTCGTTGCATTCAGCACGATGTGGAAACGTTTTCAGCACCTTACAATGCAATTTTTTGCTTGAAACTCGAGCCTCGACAGCTTGCCTATGTAGAGTTCCGAACATAGAAAAGGATAAGCGATTGAAACACAGAGAGAAAGCTTCTGTTTCCACTCGACTCGACTGCGTGGCCCGCCTATGATGCTCTCGCCGGCCAATGACTACATGATTACATTGTGGCCGTCTGCGGCTCGTGTTATCTTACTCGGTCTCGGGATGTCTCGTACGTTCTTTGTCGTACCGTTTAATTTAGGCCAATCGAGGTGATCCAGTTAAGGGGGGAAACTCCGTGGCCCGTGCGCTGTCTTCGCGTAGCAAATACACAAACCCAACTTGATGGTAACGGGAAACAAAATTTATTTGTGGGTACTGCCGCTAGATGTCGTATTATCAAGCCGTCCCAAATATCGATTATGTGTTTCCGCTGGCGTCCGATTGTTTACATTCGCGCTTCGATCAATTCGAAGTTGGCCCCAAAGGAGTCTCCCCCCTTAATTTGATTCGTCAACAGCGGCGTGCCGAGCATAAAAATGAAGCGCTTGACAAGTTCCACGGTCCCCTTCCGCAGTGGTAGGGATGACGATATAGGATTCATCGAGTCAGTCTCGAGTTGCATTCAACACGGGATTCCTGTACCTATGAAATATTGTCTTAAATATGGAACTAATAATATTGTTGTATTGTCTATTCTGAAGGATTCATACAGTAGAGCCTCCTATCTCCGAACGCCCACTATCCGAGTACTCTAATATTCCAACGTTCTACTATCCGAACCTTCTATTGTCCAAACGGAGTACCTCCTAACAACAGATGCATTCTCCAGGTGCAAATTTGTAATGCTTACATACAATGCACAATATAATGTCTTCTGTTCAATTGAATTCTACGCAGATACTTATATTGAAAAATCTCTGTAATTTAACAACCAAAAAGATGTGAAATCCATAATTATCTAAGCAAACTTCTTGATGTCGATTCAAACAAATGAAGTTTACAATCAGAAAAGTGAATGTTCTATTATCCGGAAATTTATGTTTCCTTGTTAGTTCGAATACGGGAGGTGAATTTTTTATACTACTGTATGTGAATTTTGCGTATGTCACATTTTCCGATTCAATGAAGCAGATATATTTCAAGTACTCAAGTCATGCGACGCACTCTCTCGAAACACGTAGAAAAAAGGGAAAGGAGAGGATAGGAGGAGCAGTTGTGCCTCATTAAAGTGATCATCCCCTCGGGCGAGTGTCATTCCAAGCACGCACGGGGCACAAAGGATACGCCCGTCAATGTAGCTTTAGATTTACAATTGTGACGAAAGAAGAAACACAAAATGAGAATAGACTAGACGTCCTAAAGTTAAACTATCTGCTTTGTCCGCATGTGCTATGAGTAGTTATGAAATTATGGTCCGGTTAATGGCTGCAATTCGATTGTATCTCGTCTTTTCACTGAGAGGCGTGTAATTTTATTTCATTACTCTTTACGGCATATTTTTGCATATGTTTATGTTACCGCCCGCAATAAATACGCGTTGCCATTATTATAAAACCGACAGCGTTTTCTTTATGCCTTAAATTATAATAAAAGAAAGAATACAAAATATATCAACCCTTATGGTACTTTATAAATTTTTCGGGTACCGTCCAAAAATACTTTGAAAAATATGCGATTTTAGAGGTATTTGTTAGCGTCAATATGTTTTAAGTTGAGTTGAAGGCGAATGACCCGCC